TGAAGAGTTCTCAAGCTAATACAGTCTTTTCTTCCTGAAAAATCACTTTTATACTTTTAAAAATGCCAATGGTTGTTAAACTGTCTTATTCTTAAATTACCTGCATAAATACTCTTATTTGGGTATCTCCTATTACTTTTATATTTTAATATGATGCTAGCATTAGTAGTGAAAAATCCATGTCTATTAAAATGTAAATGTACATAACACTAAGACTCAGCAACTCCACTTTTTGACATAAATCCCAGAGAAACACTTGTGCACATGCAGGAGACATCCTCAAGGAGCACCTATAATCATGAAAAGGTGCAAACACTCTGTTTTGGTTAGTCAGCTTTTTCATTGCTATGACTGAAAAACTTGATAAGAACAATTAGAGGAGGAAACGTTTATTTTGGAGCTCATGGTTTCAAAGGTCTCACTCCATTGAAGGCTGGCTCCATTGTTTGGGGGCTCAGGGTAAGGCAGAATATCATGGTGGAAGAGTGTGGTTGAGGAAAGCAGTTGGGAACATGGTATCACAAAGCAGAGAGAATTCTCCTTGCCAGGGACATCTCCAGTGAGCTACCTTCTCCAGCCATCCCTTACCTGCCTTCAGTTACCATTCAGTTTATCCCTATTAAGGGATTAACTCACTAGGTGAGGGCTTTCATAACCCAATCATTTCACCTCTAAACCTGAGCACTGTCTCACATGTGACACCTCATATCTAAACTATAACACACTCTAAATGTCCATCAGTGGGAAGGACCAACTACACTGCAGCACAACCAAGTTCTGTACTAACTGGTGTTAGGAAAAAAGGGGAGGCTACATTGCCACAGAAGGTTATGTTAAAAGAGAAAATAAGTGTGTGTACATATACATACTTTTTTTTGTACCAGGGATTGAACCCAGGAGCACCTAACCATTGAACCACACTCCAGTCCTTTTTATTTTTTGAGACAGGGTCTCACTAAGTTCCTTAGGGCCTCACTAAGTTGCTAAAGTTGGCTTTGAACTTTTGATTCTCCCAAGCCACTGGGATTACAGGCATGTGCCACAGTACTTAGATACATAAATATCTTAATATATACACATGTAAATGTATGGAATTCTTTTTTAATGGGGTCTGGGCTAAGGAGAGTCAGAGTTGAGAGGAATTTCAGATATATTCTTTTTAGTAATATATATTTACTAGTATAAATTTACTAGTACTATATTGCTTAATAACTTCAAATAAATTAAGTGAATATATAAATCCAATAAATGAGATTGGGTTTAGGGATGGGGATGTAGCTCTGTGACAGTGCTTGCCTAAGATGGGCAAGATTCTGGATTCAATTCCCATACTGCAAAAACTAAAAAAAATAAATAAAAATTTAAAAAATAAAGAAATGGGCTTTAAATTTATATGGAAAAAATCTTACCTGTGCAAAAAGCTTTCTTTTGCTAGCTGAATTTGCAGTGTTCCACCTTTCCATTTTGTTTTATTTAAAACAGACATACCTAAAAGGTAAAGAATTACTACCCGAGTACATAGCAGTGCAAAAATATAATTCAGTATATGCTTTCTTTTTAGTAATTTAGTACCAAGAAAAGTAGACTTGTTAAAAGAAACACATAAACACACACATACACACACACACAAACACACACAAAAAAAGGAAATGTGACCTAGAGACAGGAAGCCTAGGCTTCCATCTATCCTGACCACTTACCAGAAATTTCCTTTTACTTCCTATCTCATCGTTACCAAGAGACTAGAATAAGGAAGCATGTAAACTGTAAAGCAAAATTTGTTTATAAACTAATGTCAGGAACCTCTAGTGAATAACCGACATTTACTATTTCCTTGTTATTTTCTAACTATGAAAGTGGTAAGTTGTCAGGGTGAAAAGAGGACATCTGAGAATCCTGGGAGCACCTTTTACTTATTACCTCATATCAATTATCAATGTGTAACCCACAAATAACTGCAAGTGTCTGAACTGTTAGTACTGTTATGCCCCAGTAGCCAGTTTTTCTAAACATCTGCTACCAGCTTTATAACAACCATTAACAGAATTTTATATGTTAGGCACCATACTAAGCATAAATTTAATTTAACCATCACAGGAATATTATAAGGCATTATCTTTTTCATTCACTAGAAAAGCAAACTGGGGCTTAGAAGTTCAAATAATCTGCCACAGATCACATTAGCAGAGCTAATGTGTTCTTAAACACAAGTTTTCCTATCTGTCACACAACTTCCTCCCTGAATAATAATATTTTGGCAAATAAAACTATAAGACTGATAGCCTTCTTCCTCTATCATATGTTCCTTTTACTCACTTTTCAGTGTCTTTGACTTTCTGACCCCTAAGTAACTAGAATACATTACTGTATCAGCAGCATTATGGATTCTTGCCCTCTCCTTCCTCTTTGACAGTCAGTATTCACCCTCAGTATTCAGTTTACTAAATCATATCAAGAGATACCATAGTATCTTACAATTGTATATTCTAATGCCCCCTCCTCAGAATATTTAATGACAAAGATTAGCTACCCAAGAATTGAATAGAGAAGTGTGACAGAGAGAGATTTCTAGCAGGCAGTTTCTATGAAATTTTGGCCCCTGTCAAAATTATTTGAGAATACCAGTTTTTGAGCAAACTCACTAGCATTGTGCTACTATAGGTCTGCTGACATAAATGGAATTGACCTAAATCAGCAGAAATGTAGAATACCAGAATCCTCTTAATCATAGTTGTTCTTTTGTATGACTTAGAAGTGTCTGTTGAGGTTTAGATTTAGAACCAAAGTTACTTCAAATTACACAGTGATGCCAACTAGCAGACAATATAAAAAATAATGACAATCTTACATTTTTTCAGATCTTCTTCTGCTACTTTGATGTTAATATATGCAAAGATTTTCTGTGGGTTTCCTAAGAAAATAAAAATAAGTTTATTTTAAATATTATCCAGAGAATAATGTAAAAATTAACTTTCTAAGTTTAAAAGATCAGTTTTTAGAAACTTATTATTTCAAAGACAAATGTTGTTTTTCATCGGATACAAAGATTGAACTTTCCTAAGCATCATCATCAAAATATTCCAAAACAAAATGAATAAGGAAAAGAAAATTAAGTGACCAGATAAGGAAACATCTGGATCATATGTTAGTGATACTCTACATAACAGAACATTTAACAGATTTAGAATATTAATTCTCAAAACTGGATGTTAAGACCTTTCTGATATCATGTTTTAGAATTTTTCTGATTTCAGCAATTGTGAACAAGTTTCATATCACATATAATACCTGCAGGGCATCACATATCATTTTCAGTGTTCAGAGCTAATATTTACTGCTGGGGTTGCTTAATCTTGTAATATTTAACCCATGTCTGCCTGTAACCATCCAGTGAAGGATTATAAATTTACCTTGGTCATCTTTCCGTGTGATGATCTCCACATCAGAAACTTCTCCAAATCTGCTGAACTGAATTTGTAGATCTGTCTCAGAAATGGCCTGGCCAAGGCCACCCACAAAAAGGCGCTTGGTTTCTTTGTTGGCTTTCATGAAGGTTGGGCATACACTTCGTATGTTCTAGTGGGAAAAGTAATTTTCTGTATATGGAGGAGTTCTTTCCCATAGTTCTCCTCAAACATAACTCCTTCTCCCCTGAGCCTACATGACAAATTGGTCTTCTGGAGGCATGCTTCACTTCCTATTGTATCTCCCTGGAGATTCTGCTCAAGGACTACATACCAATTCTTCCTGAATGCACTTTGGAACAGCACCTGCACACTTACACAATCACAGGAACACACATAATATTCCTTTTAAATGACCACAACTACTATATACTGTCTCTTTTCATTTACTTATTTACTTATTTTTCGGTGTTCTTTCTTCCTTCCTTCATACATTCTTTTTGTCACTTTAACCAAGGCTGACAAATGTAGGATGCGGCAGTTCATATGCTAAGGGAGAAAGTCACATCTCCATCCTGAAGCTCCACACCCACAAGAGAAGTAAACCAATACTAAAATTACAATATTATGCACAATAAAAGTGCTGCAAAGTGCTGTTCAGGCACGAAGACTTGCTTTTTTACTATGTGTCTATATGGTGCATAGCAGTTTGCATGTATTCCATTTCTCACACGAGCAGAATCCACTTTCCCAATGCTAGGAAGAAAATCAGTGATGAAGCCAGAATTATAATGCAGGTCTAATTTCCGATCCCGGAATTGTTAACACTATACTAACGAAAGTTGTTGGATTACAGGGGATTCAGGAAAACTTTTCTAGAGGTGCTTGAGGTTTGACATCCATCATCAGATCCCTCATCTCCTTTAGCTCTCTTCGGGCGCTAAGCTCTCATCCTGCTCTTCTTCAAGAGCTGACATACTCCTCCTCATGGGAGATCACAGAAGAGCTCCTGAAGCCCAAGGCATGACACCAAGTCTGGGTGATAGCTCCAACTGAAACTCTTCCTAGCAGCCTCTACCCCAACCTCCCCACCCCAGCCTTCTTCCTCCCGGAAGACCAAAAAAAGAGAAAGTAGAGCTCAGATCCAGGAGCCCTATCACTTCCCAAGCCCAAGCCCAGAGCTCACCACGCCGTCCCCTAGAGCCAGCGCCGCGCGTCTGCCCACTTCTAATCACATGGCCCACCAAGTGCAATTCCTCTTCCTTCCTACTCGATTTCCAACTTCGTCTCCTAAGGTTCCGTTTCCGCACTTAGTTCCGGAGCACTCTTTGTTTCCCGTCGTTCAGGCGGCTGTGATGCATCCACCACCCTCCCCTCAACTTCCGCAAAAAACAAACAAACAAACAAACAAAAAAAACAACCCGTTGCAAAATCCCCTAATTTCTAAAGAGCCGACTTGATCAGTGACTCCCGCACTGAGCAGGCTGGAGTGAGGGAGCGGAAGAAAATGCACGAGCGCCCCCTTTCACCAGGTCCCGGAACCGCCTCTCCAGTAACCTAGACATCCGGGTAGTTCCAAGGCTGCTGGCGGGGGTGGGCAGCCGGACGCTTGGCGGATTGGAAGGAACCAACTCGCAAGAGGTCGGGACTGTTTAGAGACAGCCGTGGGGTGGTGGGGAGGATCCTCAAGACCTGGAGTCTCGTCTGAGCGCGGGGGTGGACTCTCCGGCCCGCGCGGTTACGCGTCACCCTGCCTCCTCCCCTACCCCTCGAGCTCCGCAGTGGTGCGTGCCGGTAGCGCGCGCCGCTTGAAGCTCGGGGCGAGGCGGCCGGGACCCGGCTTGGCAATTCGGTGCGCCATGGACGCCCAGCGCGCTGAGGTGCGCGCCTTGGAGGCGGAGATTGCGGCGCTACAGCAAGCGTGCAGCGAGCTGCCGGCGCCCTGGGAAGGGACGGCCAGAGACCGGTACGTGGCTCCTGTCCTCTCCCTGGGACTCCCGGGCACTGCCTCAAGGCGAGGCAGAGGACCGCACAGAGCTCTCCGGGCCGCGGTTCCCCGAGGCCCTGACCTGCGGGTTGTAGCTTGGGACATTCCCAAACGTAGACTGGAACCGTCGCCGATTTGTAATGACGGTGGCCTAGCGTCTGGAGTACCGCTTACGGGGTTCTCTCTGTGATACGCGCCTTTCAGCGCATCCACTGATAGTGGTGAGAAAGTCGTTTCTTGCAAGGTCCCAAGTCCTGTTTATTTCTTTTAACTAGAAAATCTTGCCTTCGGCAGGCAGCAGTTTCAAAGTGGGATTGTTTTCGGGACATTTGTTTGTATATGTCACCTAGCTACGGGGATACCTTTTTTTAAATTATTATGAAAATGACATAAAATTTTCTTTGAAACACGGTTTAGGTGAAAAGCTGATACAAGGAAAAGTAGCTGATATCGACTGTAGGGAGAATCTGACAGCCCTCTGACGTAGATGCTATCCTTAACTCAGTTTTAAAGTTAGAAAACCTGAGAATCAGAACTAGCTTGCCAAAAGTCTTAGACAAAGGAGGTGTTAGAACTGAATTGGACCCTAAAATACTAGGAGTCTTCTTGATTGAAGAAGAGAAAAGATCTCTAACAATTATCAGTTATGTATCATCTCATTACTTGAAATCAAACTATCTTCGTTTTTAAAAACAAGACTAATTTGGTATAGGTGCAGAGAGAGGGGTTTCCCTCCTCCCCCTGATCTAAATGGACAAAAGTGCTAGAAAATGTGAAGGAGGATGAGGGGGTCTAAAGAAAATGTTTGGGTTGGGGATGTAGCTTAATGGTAGAATGCTTGCTTAGCATGCAGTGAGGTCCTCAGTTCCATTCTTAGAGCTGGGGGAAGTTTGCATGATGTTCTATGCAGTCATAAAAGCAGAGAAAGCTGTTACTGGTAAAAGGGAAAAAGCAGCCGGGTGCAGTGGCCCAAGCCTGTAATCTCAGCGGCTTGGGAGGCTGAGGCAGGAGGATTGCGAGTTCAAAGCCAGCCTCAGCAAAAGTGAGGTGCTAAGCAATTTAGTGAGTCCCTGTCTCTACAAAATAGGGATAGGGATGTGACTCAATGGTCGAGTGCCCCTAATCCCTGGTACCAAAAAAACAAACAAAAATGAAGGAAACAGGTGAACAGGGTATGTATATGCTTCTCACAAGAGTAAATGAAATGTCCTTACTACTCCAGGTGTAAACCATAGATTGGAAGCATTAGTATCACTTGGGAGTTTGAGAACTACCGACTAAATCGTAACCTACATTTTAATGAGACATCCTCCTCTTACCTCCCCAATATGCAAACTCTAAGTTTGAGAAACACTGTATCATATTATGGGGAGGATGATTTCTCCACTGACCACAAGATGTCATTATTAGTCCAGAATACCATAGTAGATTATTTGTTATGTGGGACTCCTCATTGATCACACTGGAAAAGTCACAAGAGTTCCAGACTCTAGAAGACATTAAATGTCAGTCCAAGGTATTTAGGTTTAATGGGAAATTTTTTTCTCACTATGGTGGAGATGGAAGATTGGGACCTGTGTGAAAGCTACTTTTTAAGTGATTTTAAATGGTTGGATGTGTTGGTGGTAGAAAAGTTGGAGCTAAATTAGTCAGTTATAGCATACTGCAGTGATGCAGCCACATCAATGTTTATAGCAGCTCAACTCACAAAAGCCAAGCTATGGAAATAACCTGTCTGTCCTAAAGCAGATGAATGGATAAAGAAAATATGGTATAATATACACAATGGAATATTACTCAAACATAAAGAAGAATGAAATAATGGCATTTGCTGGTAAATGGATGGAACTGGAGAATATTATACTAAGTAAAAATAAGCCAATCCCCCAAAACCAAAGGCCAAATGTTCTCACTGATTTGTGGATGCTAACCCAAAACAAGGGAAATTGGGGTGGGGAATAATAGATATCCATTGGATTAGAAAATAGGGAAATGAGGGGCTGGGGATGTGGCTCAAGTGGTAGTGCGCTCGCCTGGCATGCTCGAGGCGCTGGGTTCGATCCTCAGCATTACATACAAATAAAATAAAGATGTTGTGTCCACCAAAATCTAAAAAAATAAATATTAATCTCTCTCTCTCTCTCTCTCTCTCTCTCTCAAACAAAAACAAACAAACAAACAAAAAAAAGGGAAATGAAGGAATGGGAGGGGAAAGGGAATAGGAAAGACAGTAGAATTAATTGGACATAACTTTCCTAGCCTTGTTTTTGAATACATGACCAGGGTAAAACATGTACAACCACAAGAGTGGGATCCTAAATAGAATGTTAACACTCTATGTATAAATTTGCCAAAATACATTCTATTGTCATGTATAACTAAAAAGAACAAATAAAATAAATAAATTATTCATTTATATCCATATATCCACATCCTGGAGCCAAATTGCCTGCCTTCAAATTCTGGCTGTTAATGGCTGCATGATCTTGATTGGAACCCCTTCCTTGTTAAAATGGTACCCAAGTTTTCACCTTGTTGTGAGGACTGAATTAACATATTTATTTAGAACAGTACTCAACTCCTAATAATAACTAACACTAATTAGTAGATCATTGACTTTTAAGCTCAAATCAAGTATAGATTTGGTTTAAAAGGGGGTTTCTTGTGAACCTCTAGTGTTGACAAAAGCATTTTATGCTAATAAGAAATTTGCAAATAATAAAACTACAGAACCAATAAAATTCAAGCTAAAAATAATTCAGCTGGGAGTGGTGGCACATGGATGTAATTCCAGTGGCTAGGGAGGCTGAGGCAGGAGGATCCTGAGTTCAGAGCCAGCCTCAGCAAAAGTGAGGTGCTAAGCAACTGAGACCCTGTCTCTAAATAAAATACAAAATAGGGATGGGGATATGGCTTAGTGGTTGAGTGTCCTGAGTTCAATCCCTGCTACCCTCCAAAAAAAGAACATAATTCAAACTAATATTATTAGTTGAAATAAACCACTTTGCTTATATAACTAGTTTCTGTCAATGAGAATATACAGCTCCTCTTTTGTGTATATGATAAGAAATATATATATACAAATACACATATGTCATACAATTTACTATTTTAATCATTTTAAGCATATTGGTCAGTAGCATTAAACATGTTCATATTGTTGTGCAACATTACCACTATCAATCTTCAGAACTTTTTCATCATTCCAGTCTGTAACTCTATACCCATTAAATAATTAACTGTTATCCCTCTTTCCCATTGCCAACTGCAAGTTCTTTTTTGAATTCTGTCTATCCTTTAATGTGATTGCTTTGCTCTCTTGAACGTTCTGTGACAGTTGGTGTTCACTTAGCAGAAACTCATCATTTATGTTTGAAGATCGCCTCTGTTTTTTTTATTGGTTTTTTATATTCAAAGTAAATTTTTTTGTCATCAATCCTGATGGAAAATGTGGAAGAATATGTGGTAATCTTTCAGATGTTACAAAATGTACTTATTGATATTTAAAAGTAGCAGTAAAACAATATTAAACTTTTTTATAGACCTTATGCAAGTCTTTGATCCTCAGTGTGAGTAGAGTTAGATTGTTTCCTATAGACACGGTAGAAGGCCATAAAAGCATTGATTAATGTAGTGGAATTAGAAATAGTAAAGGAAGAAGAGGTTGGAGAGGGAGCAGAAAGGATGACACTATATCCAGAGATAAGGCCAATGAAACATAAACTGCTAAAATATGGAGCCTTATGCATCAGGGGGAATTTGGAAGAAAAGCTTATTCAAGGGGGGAAAATGTGGAATAAGTAAGTAGGTCTACATTGCAGGAAGAAAAGATCTATGGCAAAGGTGTGTTTTAGGAGTTGCTGGCATAGGGGAGCTGAGGTTAATCATTGAGTGTTTCTCTGGAATGAGAAGAATATATAATATTTAAGAAACTAGGGGTAAGAGTATTAGGGTTTTCCTTTAATGTTGGTAACAAAAAGCAGAGATAGCAGAAGATCCAAGTTATAAATGAAAGTCAGGATAATCATGCCCCAGAATCCAAAAAAGAGATGTTTTGGAATGGCAGAAGTCTATACTGTAGAATATAGCTGAGTGTTTAGGGGGAAAAAAAGGATGAAAAAAAGTATAATCTAATGCAATTATTAACTCATTCTTTTTTTCAAGGAAAATTAAAGTTACATGTTCTCAGAATGTCTGGTTATAGTTTTATTTGAAGAGATGATGACATTTCTTCTTTGGAGTCTTTACTCCCCTCTGTATTCTTAGATTTCCTGAGATATCTCTTAGTATAAAATGTTTTGTGATATTTGCTTTTTTTAAAAAAAAATTAGCTATTTAATTTTGTTTTTATGAGATGTCTTGGGTATTAGTTTTTTAGGTTGGAAATTCCCAGATGAGAACTGACCTTTCAATTTTGCAAAGTACTTCTGTTTTAGTTTATTTTAAGGTGTTTCTACTATGTACAAATATCCTAGTATAATTTGGTTATTTTTGTTTTTTGTTGAAACTAGAGATTACAGTATTAATGGCCATATTAGTTTTGATAAAGCTTTAGTTTTAATGGGAAGTGATTAAGAGAAAGAAAATGGGAATGGTTTAAAGAAAATTGGGGTATTAAATGAACCAATTGTTAGTAGTTGTAATAACTTTCTGATATTTACTTTTTAGAAAATCATTTCAAGAAACATACCAATCAGATACTAAGAAATGTGAATCTTCAAAAGATCTAAAAAGTCAGCTTGGACATTTAAAATCAGAACTTTCATTTCTAAGTACACTAACTGGTTTCAATATAAGAAATTATGCCAAGCAGACAGAGGACCTAACAACGACTGAGATGACAGAAAAAGGTGAGCATTATTTTTAGTCTAGAAGTGGTTTTGAAGCTTACCATATTATGATTGGTTATCATAATGTTGAAAAATTCTGAAGATTCACTATTTGAAAATCTAGTTATGATAAACCTGTTTATAGTCTTTTGAATATTCCATTGTGCCCAATACTATTTAAAAGTTGTCTAAGGTAAATATTAAATAATGAAATACAGTCTTTATCATTAAATAACCTTAATAGTTAAGTAATAGTGATATGTGATTAGGGATTGTTAGAACAGCACTATTAATATATGAACATAATAATTCATTACTGATGTGAAACCTGCCTGATCTGTAATGGTTTGCTGCTGTCATTGCCTATGGCCAAATAAATGTTCAGCACCTGAACCTTTTGCCAGAAAGAAGATATCTGTTCCTAATGACAGAGTTTTATTGCTGAAGATCTATAGTGTACTAACAGCTAAGAGGAAGCTAATTCAGCCTTGCAACTGGATGTCAAGAACTTTAGTTGGACAAGAATAACATCCCAAAGCAGAAATCATTTTTGAAAGTGCTTCCTGACTTTTCCACTGAAACAACTTTTAGGACAGGGAAGAGAATCTTGGGCAGCTCACTGCAGGGAGTTTCTGAACTACATATAGAAATGGAGTGATGTAATTTAGATACTGAATTACTTGAAGAGATGGAATACAGCAAGTATAGAGGATGAGGACAGTCTTGTGTAATGATGCATGCCTGTAATCACAGCTACTCGGGAGGCTGAGGCAGGAGGCTCCTGAGTTCAAAGCCAGCCTCAGCAAAAGTGAGGTGCTAAGCAACGCAGTGAGATCCTATCTCTAAATAAAATACAGAATAGGGCTGGGAATGTGGCTCAGTGTTCGAGTGCCCCTGAATTCTCTCCAGTACCTCCCCCACCAAAAAAAAAAAAAAAAAATGGAGGATGAGGACAGGTCACATGTAAAACTTTCACCAGTATAAAGTCTTGATATAAATTCTTAAGCATGAGTTTTTTTGTTTTGTTTTTTGAGAGAGAGAATTTTAATATTTTTTTAGTTTTTGGCAGGCACAACATCTTTGTAAGTGGTGCTGAGGATGGAACCTTGGCCGCACGCATACCAGGCGAGCGCGCTACCGCTTGAGCCACATCCCCAGCCCACAAGTTGTTGTTTTTTTAAAAAAAATAATAATTTTTTTTTTAGGGAAGCACTCTACCACTGAGCCACAACCCCAGTCCCTAGGCAAGGTTTTAAGAAAGCTGTGGCCTTGCCATGTGCAGTGGCGCACACCTATATTCCCAGCTACTCAGGAGGCTGAAGCTGCAGTCATGTTAAGCTGAATCCATTTAGACAGGAACTAGGTAATGTTAAAAAAAAAAGAAAAATATGATTGAAACTTATCTAGGGCTATACCACTATGTTTCTGTCTTTTACTTAACCTTTGGTATAATTGAGTACTACAGTGTATAAATTGTCATTAATCCTATTTTGTAAGGATAATCAGTTTGGTGCACATTGTTCAGATTTTTTAATGCAATTATCAACATATACTTTCATACATCTACTCATATGTATCATAGATAATCACATATATGTGATAGGTATGTGATGAAAATTGTTTTTGTCAAATAAAATATTTGTTTTTCTAATTTACAGGTATAAAGAAAGTTGTACAGAGACACAGATTATCAGGAAATTGCCACATGGTTACATTTCAACTTGAATTTCAAATTCTAGAAATTCAGGTAAATTAAGGAGCCTATTGTGATAACAGAGATATTTCTTTATAACAGAAGCAATTCACACAACCCAGCCTCCAGCAATGACTGCAATGAGGAGTCACATTTGTACAATTGTTGCTAAGGCAACAGGTGCTTTATCATAGGGTAGGTAGCAAAACGCTTCTGGGCTCCTTGTATAAGCCCTGAGGTTGTAAGAGTAGTCATACACCAGCCATGTATTATCAGTTACCTATTGCTGAGTAACAGATTTCTCCAATATCTAACATATGGAAACAGCAAAAAAAAAAAAACCACAAACAAACAAACAAAAACCCTATTTTTTTCATCTTCTTTGAGTCAGGAATTTGGGAGCAGCCTAGTTGGATGATCCACAAATTATGCTGGATTGCTAAGCCAACACAGGGAAGCAGATATGTTTTGCTAAGATTTAGAAAACAATGAAAAAAGAACGGTAGCATAGTCTTCTGGACAGGGTCAGGTAGAACGGGCTTAGACACTTTCAAAGGCTGGCTCTAAGAAAAGCGGGATCCAAGCATGATTTTGAGAACTGTCTGAGGCTCAGCACTGCTTTGGTGGTAGAAAAGATTTTCAATCAGTTGTTTTCACTAGCTGGGCTCAAGGGAATGTGTACAAAGAGGAAGAATAGAACAAGGAAGGACAGGCAGGCTACCTACCTCATCAGATCAATACACTGGGTATAGTGTAATTGTCACAGTCAAGTCATTGGGACAAGTGACCTTTATGTACCCACAGTAAGATGCCAGGATTCCTCATTCTTGTTGTTAGTGTTCCCAGCCACGAAGAGCCCCAAGTTGTACTGTGTGTGTGTGTGTTTGTTTTATATGATGGGAGTCAGTCAGGGATTTAGGACCCTGCCTCCTTAGGTGTCAGACAACCATTTCCTTACTAAGTCAAAGGACAGGGTCCAGGAATCTGGGCTTGGAAGTTTTGCTTCTCTTTGCAGTCAGAGTATCCAATTTCTATCATTGGCCTGGGCAGGCTGAAGACAGGATGGGGATCTAGGCTCCTCATTTGATGACAGAGCTTCCATTTGCACTCACCTACTTATCACCCTGCAGTTACTGCCAAGCTGACTAAGAAAATGCAATGTGGCATTCCCAGGGCTTGTTAGGCAGAATGTGACACATAATTCAGCATTTTCTTATATCATGCATGGATGGTGAGTGGCCTTCAGTGGCCTACAGTGTTCCCAATTATCACCAGGCCTTGGGGCTTTCCAGGGTCACCAAGGTGATATCAGTGTTTTGCATAACTACAGAGATTATCTGTTGAAGGCTGAAATGGAGCATGAACCCAAATGACTGGCATCAATTGGGTTGTACCACTTGTTAGGACCCCAGTCTTTTCCTTTGGGTGATCTGGGGATTCCTGAATGTTTTTGCATTGTTGATGATTTTATAGTCTGACCAACTGCATTTTTCCCCCCCAGTGCTGGGACTTGAACCTAGGACTTTGCACATGGTAGGCAAAGAACTACTGCTGAAATACATCCCTACCACTTTTAGGGTTTTTGCTTTGTTTTTAATTTTGAGACAGGATATCACTGAATTCCCTAGGCTGCCCTAGGACTTGGAGTCCTCTGCCTCAGCCTCCTAAGTAGCTAGGCTTATAGGCATGCACTACCATACTCAGCTCAATTGCATCTTCTTTTTTTTTTTTTGTGGCGAATGAGATTCTGACCTTAGAGTGGCAATACACCAGTTGTTCTCCTGCATGCTGTTATCCATGAATGGGCTAGACCCAGAACCTATAGCAGATTGGTGGAGTTATAAACCTGATATCCAGTTCCCTCTCTGATAACTACTATATTCTAATATATATATATATATATTTTTTTTTTTTTTTTTTCCACGAGAACAACTCAGGGACATTCTAGCAGCTTTGGGAGTCTTGCAGGCTTTTTCTAATATAGGTGTTCATTTGTTTCACAGTTGCTTCTTGGATTATCTGGAGAGAAGTAAGACTGTGGGCAAAATTAGTCTTGTCCTAGGATGGTGTGTCCACAAATCCAACTGAAAAGATCAAGACTGTTCTGTAGTAATGTTTTGAACAACCAACAATAAAAAATTAAAAAAAAAAATAAAAAAGACTGTTCTGTAAAGTTGAGGTAAACAAGCTGCTCTGTGAGGTTGTACATTCCCAGATAGGTGGTGGCCAAAGATTTGTTGGCATTCTCATTAATAGGGCTGTGGCCTGAGAGTTGACATAGATTGTAATATTTTAACTTTGTTTTTTTTTTTTTTTTTTTAAGAGAGAGAGAGAGAGAGGGAGACTTTTTAATATTTATTTTTTAGTTTTCGGCGGACACAACATCTTTGTATGTGGTGCTGAGGATCGAACCCGAGCCGCACACATGCCAGGCGAGCGCGCTACTGCTTGAGCCACATCCCCAGCCCTTAACTTTGTTTATTTTTTATTATTATTTTTTGTTTGTTGTTTGGTTTTATTGGTACGGGGGATTGAACCCAAGGACACTCTACAATTGAGCTAAATCCCCAGCCCTTTTTATTTTTTGAGACAGGGCTATGTTAAATTGCTGAGGGTCTCCCTAAGTTGCTGAGGCTAGCCTTGAAGTTGCAATACTCCTGTCTTAAGCTTCCTGAGCTGTTGGGATTACAGGTGTGCACCACTGCACCCTGTTTAATTTCAATTTCTTTAAATTGCTTACTTTTGTTACATTAAGACAATGAAAAGTTGGGACAAGGAAGAAGAATAAATTTTGGGGACAACTAGCAGTTTCTGACCTATATTCTTTAAAGGATACAGGGGGGAAAAATCTGAGAGGAAGTGTTGATACTATTTGAAAGAATTTGCTGAATCTATAAAGAAACATGAATTCTTGTTCACATTTTAAAGTATGGGGTTTTGGGACTGCTTGATTTTTTTTACTACTAGAAAAAGCATACTCTCCTTGGTTGTATTAAGAGCACTCATTTCTCTCTGAACCTTTTAATTTTATGATTCTTCTTGAAGATTTGACTGGTAAGATGTTGGAAGCAGTTATAGACAGCTGTGGAATCAGCAGGGCTTTAGGAATCAGTTGTGTAGGAGTCACCAAGAGTCCTTGTTTAGAAAGGAAAGGAACAAAAGGCTTTTTTGTTTGTTGCTCAGAATGCTAATGTGGTGATGATGTTAGTTTTTTTTGTTTGTTGGTTGGTTGCTTGGTGGTACTGGGAATTGAACCCATCAGTGCTCTCCTACTAAGCTATATCCTTTTTTTGGGACAGAGTCTCACTAAGTTGTGTAGGCTGTCCTTGAACTTGCAGTACTTCTGTCTCAGCCTCCCAAGAAGCTGGGATTATAGGTGTGTACCACTGTGCCTGACCAAGAATTGTTAAAGTTTTTACTATTTAATGGTAAATGCTACCGTATGCTAGGCCTATTCCTATTCCTTTTAGAAATATATCTCTAATAGAATTGCTCAAAGAAAATGCACGTGTAGGGGGCTGGGGCTGGGGCTCAGCAGTAGCACACTTGCCTGGCATGTATGAGGCTCTGGGCTCGATTCTTCGCACCACATATAAATAAATAAATAAATAAAATAAAGGTCTATCAACAAATAAAAAAAATAAAAGAAAATGTACGTGTAATTTCTAATAATAGTGTTGATTTGCCTTCTAAAATGATTTTGCCATTTATTGAGCACATTTTTACTGTTAAGACTGACCAAAATAAATAAATAAACCTTGTGTTCTCATTTTTTAAAATCAAACGTTCCACTAGAGGGAGATGTTTAGCTCTCAGAACATTAAAGAGTAAATAATAACTCTTTTTTCATAATATTATAAATATTTTTCCAGAATAGAAATCTTATTAATATACAATTCCCATAAAAACCTAAAATCATATAAATTGAATATGTTAGAACCAAAAGCAACCTCATAGATTTTCTAGGTCAACCTCCTTACTTTATAGGGAAATCTATGCAGAGTATAGATTGTCTGTTGGCAAAGCTATTATTGTCAAAGGTAGTTGGAATATAGAACTCTGTTCCTCAGATTTACTGTCTGGTGTTATCAGGGCTATAATTTTTTTTTTTAATTATTAGAAACTTTCTTAATATAGGGCAGAACACCAGGAGAAAATCACATTGGAAAAGGACCCAAACAGTAATATTTCATAACTTATTTTCATAAGGAGAGATTTCTATAGGTTCTAAACTATGTTAATGGTTTTGTACTGACATAACATATTCCTTTGCTTTAAAAAGAATAAACACATGTTTTCAACCAACTAAATCTTTCTGTCTATATTATTTGCTGGACAAAAACTATTTGGGGGATTAGAATCCCATACTGGTAAGCATTTTTTTTTTTTTTTTAAATTTTTGTTGTTGGTTGTTCAAAACATTACATAGTTCTTGATATATCATATTTCACACTTTGATTCAAGTGAGTTATGAACTCCCATTTTTACCCCGTATACAGATTGCAGAATCACATCAGTTACACATCCATTGATTTACATATTGCCATACTAGTGTCTGTTGTATTCTGCTGCCTTTCCTATCTTCTACTATCCCCCCTCCCCTCCCCTCCCCTCCCCTCTTCTCTCTCTACCCACTCTACTGTAATTCATTTCTCCCCCTTGTATTTTTTTTCCCTTTCCCCTCACTTCCTCTTGTATGTAATTTTGTATAACCCTGAGGGTCTCCTTCCATTTCCATAGGGCTATAATTTTTATGAGGAGTTGGAAGATCATGAAAATTAACATGCCTCCCACAGACCATGTAGCATAATAAGTGAGATGTTTAGGAGTTTGTACAAAAAGTAGCAAATTATGTATGTGTGCATAACTTGTCTCCCTGAAACCCAATAAAATGAACAAAATGATTTAAAAAGGGACGTTTTTAAGCAAATAGAATATATTCTCATTATCATAGGCTCTAAAGAAAATCTGTTTCTTGTTATGATATTTGAACCTAAACACTGAAATCTCAATACAGAGTGCTTTTGAGAGGCATCGGTATTTTGCAAAAGTTTGTGAGACCATTTTCTTTAAGATCTCCACCCACAATTCTTAAGTTGTGGAGAAGAATGAGAAATGTGGACTTAAATAGTAGAAAAGAACCCAGTAGAAAAAAGAAGCTGCTGAGATTCACGTAGAAGGTTTGAGGTTAGTATGTTTATAAGGTCCTGGCCCTTGTTTACCAACTGGGGAGAAAACCTGGTTGGCAGTAGTACCACAGGCAGGAAAATGATGGAAAAACAATATTTTGAAGTTAGCTGTCCAGTGGTTGAACAGAGTCTGCAAACTACCAAAGGAGGAAAATAAATAGAAGGCCAGTAATCCCAGACTTTGTGTTGACAGGATGACTTTCTTGTCCTAACGGGCAAAAGGCCAAAATCTACCATGCACCCTGCATACTTGAAGTAAGACATGCCTCTGAGATTTTTGTCTTCCTTGCTTTCTTTTATTTATTTACTTGGTAACAGCTCTACTGAGATGTAATTTCATATCATATAACTTTAAAGTGTACAATTCAGTAGTGTTTATTACACCAGAGTTGTACAACCACTCCTACAATTAATTTTAGGAAATTTTCGTCTGTTTAAAAAGAAGCCCCGTATGCTTTAACTTCCATCTTTCAATATCCCTGGATTCTTTCAGCCCTAAGCAGTTGCTAATCTGTTTTTTTCTCTATGGATTTCTTTATATTTTGGACATTTCATGTAAATGGTCATTTACTGACTTCTTTCATTTAGCATGTTTTCAAGATTCATTCATGTTGTAGCACATGTGAGTACCCTTTTTGGGTTGAATAATATTCCATTGTGTGGATATACCACACTTTATCTATTCCTTCAGTTGATAGAAATGGTTATTTTCATTTTTTTGGTTATGAATAACATTGTTATAAACACTCATGTATTTGTGAACATGTTTTTTTTGCTTTATATATAAGAGTGAAATTACTACATCAAATGGCACTAATGATGTTGAGCATCTTTCAATGCTTATAGGCCACTTGTATATCATCTTTGGAAAAATGTCTTTGCAGATCCTTTGAATAATTTTTAATTTTTTTTTAAATGAGTGGTGAGAAAGCCTCAGGAATTTGTTTTGATTAGGTATGATGGTAGATGTCACAGACAGCTGCTCCCAGCAATTCCAACTATACCCTCAAGCAGATGAAAAAAACTATATGAAGATTAGATATCATCAATATCCATTCTCTGACAGCTCAGAATATTAAGGAGACATGTCAGAGTTTCCTAAAATGCACTCTAGTTTTAGGAAATAACAGAAATTTCTAGATTGACTTTCATTAACAACAAATAGGAGCCACAGACATCAAAGTACAAGATGATATGGTGTTCTTTCATTGTCCTATTGGACAAAGCAACCTAAAATAAAATCAGGGCAAAATAATGCCAGGAAAAGAAAGGAAATTAATAAGAAAATGGAAACATTTACTTGAGTTTGCATATCAAAATAACAGTTTGTGTAACAGTCTTCATCATCAGGTATAGAATTGTTTCTGGCTTTTTGTAGCATTATTAGGAATATCTTTGTTCATAAATCTGTTTTCATTTCTTATTACCAGAGTATAGACTCTTAGAATTCAAATTAAGAGAAAATGAATATTTCAGGTTATTCATTGTCAAAATGATTTCTAGAAGGGTTATACCAATTTATATTCCCACTGCCAGCTTTGAGTGTATATTTACCAGCAGTAATATTTTTTTAGTCTTTGCTGATTCGTTAAAATGTTTGTTTTTAATTTACATTTATCTTACTGTTGAGGTAAAACACTTTTTTATAGGTTAATTTTTTTTTTTTCACCGCTGAACTTTTAGTTCATGTTCTATGCCTTTTTCTTTTCAGTTTTGTCTCTTTGTCATATTTATTGTGAATGTTTTCCTCAGTTTAATACTTCTTTTTTATTTTATTTTTACTTAGATACTGGGTTTTTATGTAATCCTATTTGCTTTTTTCCCTCCCTATTGTTTGCTTAGGAAGTTTTTCCTGACTCAGTAATTTGTTAAATGTTCACATTTCCTCCCAGTATTTTGTGATTTTAATGTTGAATTTAAGGAAATAATTCATTTGGAGTTCATTTTAGTTTTTGGTATGGAGTGGGATCTGATCTTATTGTTTCAATGAATAACCAGTACTTTGATTATCGTTTTTTCATTATGCTTTCCTATTATTTGAAGATACTTCATTTTGCATAACTTAAAAAGTGTTTTAATAAGAAAATGGATAAATGATGTATAAATTTTCTTTTTTTTTTAAATTTTAGACTAAGGAGAATTTATCTTCTGTCATTACTGAGCTCAACATAATAATGGAACCCACAGAATATTTAGAATTAAGTGAATTTGTATCTAGGTAAGCTATTTTACTGACTTATTTTATGAGCTATTTTTACTCTGCAGTTTTAAACTTATACTTTTCTTAGTAAATGTATCTTCTCCAAAAGCATAACACCATTACTAGGGCATATACTCAAACACTTATCACCTCTATGAATCTCTATTTATTGTATGTTCACTATGCTGGGCATTAAAATTAAAATATGGACAAAAATAGACATAATCCTTGATCTTCATGGAATTTGCAACCATAAGATGTTCTATATTAACGGAATAATTGTAGAAATAAATGTGAAATTATGGCTATGTGGCATGCTAGAAAGAGAGCTGCATAGACTGTTGAAGTGCATTAGGACTTTGACTTGTCAGGGAAAACGTGGAATGATTTCCCGAAGCTTGAGTTGACAACTGAAAAATGAATGGGCCTTAACTAACCAAGAGGTCCTAGACAGACGGGTAGAAGGAAAACCAGGAATGTGTTGTGTCATGTAGAGCTCACATGACCTTTTTTTCCAGACCATGCTTCAAAAGTAGCATCTGGTCTTGTGCAAATTATAAAAGGAAGAATACTAGAATATCTGTCACCCTGTAGTAATGGGTATGTTGTGGTTACTTAATAAATATTTGACTTCAGACTTTTGGGTAATTCTTCTAAACTGTGATCTCACTTTGTGGAGTGTGACTGGTATTTTAGAAAAAGTGCTGAACACAGGTCAGAAGACCTGGACTTTAGTCCAGACTTTGTATATGATATTGTATAAGTTGCTTCTCCTTTTTGGAGTTTGTTTCTTCTTTGTCACCCTGTTATGCAGTTTAATTATTTATTTTTTTGTGTGTCATCATACATGTACTTAGAGTAATAATATCCATCTCATTCCACCATCTTTTTTCCCGCATGCCCCCTCCCTTCAAATAGTGTATTCTTTTTTGTTTGTTTTTTGTGGTACTAGGGATTGAGCCTAGGGATGCTGTGGCAATGAGCTGAACCCTCAGTCCTTTTTATATTTTGAGACAGAGTCTTGCTAAGTGTCTCAGGCTGGCCTTGAATTTGTAATCATCCTGCCTCAGTTTCTTCAGTTGTTGGGATTACAGGTGTTAATTACTTTTTTTTATTTTTTTAAATTAGAGCATGGTAGCTATACATAGTAGTTGGGTTCATTTTAACAAATTTGTGCATTCATGGAATTCAGTTTTAGTTAATGTTCCCCCACCACTCCTTCCCTCATTCTCCTTTCTCTACAGATCTTCCTTTCACTCAATTTAGAAAAAAAAATTTTTTTATTTGTCAATGGACTTTATTTTGTTTATTTATATGTGGTGCTGAGAATCAAGTCCAGTGCCTTACACATGCTAGGCAACCACTCTACCACTGAGCCACAATTCCAGCCCATCACTCAATTGTTTTTAAATACTGTATTTTTAAAGTTGAATTTACTTTTAGTTTTCCATTATAGACTTGTAGTTTTCAGACAAAAGATCAATATCTTTAATTTTTTGGAAAATTCTTAGTCATTATTTCATTAACTCTTGCCTCTACCCTGATTATCCCTTATCACAATCTGCCTTCACATCAAACACTAAGCATTGCTTGTATAAAACAACAATATGAGCCAGGTGTGGTAGCACCTGGCCTGTAATCTCAGCTATTTTGTTAAGGCAGGTAGATCATAAGTGTGAGGCCAGCATGGGCAACTTAGTGAGACCCTGATTGAAATAAAAAATAAAAAGAGCTGCAAATGTAGCTCAGTGGTAGAGCACTTGCCTTATTTGCATTATGTGTTTAGAGATTGCCTTCAAATCTTTCCCTTAATTTTGCTTTTCCACAGTTTGTGTTGTCTAGAACGTTTTTGTTTAAAGAGTCTGGACTATGTGTCTTCAAATGTTAGTTTTGCGGTCTTTATTCTTCTGCAACTCTTAATTATATATATGCTAGAATATTTGATATATTGTCTCACAATGTTTGGATGCTGTGTTCTATTTCTTTTTCTCTTTGTGTTTCAGTTTGGGTAATCTGTTTTTTTTTGAAATGAGGTTCACTGTGTTGGGCTCTGCTCCAACTCATGATCCTCTAGCCTCAGCCTTCTGAGCAGCTGAGTTTATAGACATGTGCCATGGTGCCCCAGTTTAGATAACTTCCGCGAGCATACCTACAAGTTAAAAGGTTCTTTTCTCCATAAAGTACAGTATGTCAGTCCCTTGAAGGAATTCTTCATCTCTTGCAATTTTTTTATTGCTTATGTTTTCATTTGATTCTTAATTTTATTTCTTTCTCTTTGTTGAAATTCTCCATTTGTACCGGGTGTGGTGGTATAGGCCTGTAATCTCAGCAGCTCTTGAGGCTGAGGCCAGTGGATAGCAAATTCAAAGCCAGCCTCAGCAATTTAATGCGGCCTCAAGCAACTTAGTAAGAACCTGTCTCAAAATAAAAAAAAAGGCTGAGGATGTGGCCTAGTAGTTAAGCATCCCGGGTTCAGTTTCAAGTACCCCTTCGCCCCCCCCCCCCAAAAATCTGTTTGTGTATGATATATACGTTTTCCACTAGATCCTTTAACATATGAATCATAGTTATTTTTAAGTCCCTGTCTAACAATACCAGCCTTTGAGTCATCTTTGAGTCTGGTTTTGCTGATTAGTTTACAATGGGTTGGATCTTTTCTTGAATTTTTGTGTCTCACTTTTTTTTTTTTTTTTTAGTTTGGCACAATACCTTTATTTTGTTTTTATTTATTTTTATGTAGTGCTGAGGATTGAATCCAGGGCCTCGCATGTGCTAGCAAGCACTGTACCGCTAAGCCACACCCCAGCCCACGATTTTTGATTGAATGGCAAACATTGTGGAAAAACAGACTTAAGCAAATAGTATTCTTCATGCCCTTTATCAGTAGTTGATCTTGATTTGGGAATTTTTCTTCCTTTTTTTTTTTTTTTTTTTGGCTGTACTTGGGATTGAACCCAGGGGTACTTTTGAGACAAATTGCTAAATTCCCAGACTGGCTTCGAATTTTCAATCCTCTTGCCTTAGCCTTCCAAGTCACTAGGATTATGGGCATGTGCCACCACACCCAGCTGGATTTGGAATTCTTGTTGCTTTCATTCCCTTCAGGCACCATATCTTCTAATTCTTCTAGCAGTGGGCTGCGGTTACCTATGCTTAGAACAGTGCCTTAGAAGCTGGAGGGTTTTCCTCAGTGTTTCAGTTCTGCTCCCAGCCATCAGTCGTCTCTACACATCAGCACCTGGGAGGGCAATCTTTCCCCAGCAGTGGATTGTTGGTGTTTGTTACTTAGTGCTAGGCTTGTGGTTGGAATAAGAGGTGTTCTACCTTTCTATGGTCCATCCTCAGTATTGGATAGGTCCCTGAAGCTTGTGCCTCAGTGGTAGGGCGTTGTCAGCATTCCTGCTCTTCCTCTCCAGTGCAGCTAGACTTGCCCTTTGTCTGTCTGTTTGGTCTTGAGTGGGAGGGAGTTTCTTTTCCCTCCTCCAGTGGTAGCAGACCTTTGCTTGGAGTTCGTGTAGGATCCTGGGCCCAGTGGGTATCTTGTACCTCCTGTGGAACAGAGGGTTTTCCACTCTCCCTCCTTCAGAAGCAGTGAATCTTTGTCTTAGCAGGGATGTTCTTCTATTGCTTTGTTGTGTCTTTTTCAGTGGCTTAAGGTTTTTGCTCTGACAAGAGTAGAGTTCAGGCTTCATTGCTGTACCCCATCAGCAGCTGATCACTTTTTTTGTTCCTGTGCCACTGAGCAGAATTCTCTCTGAATTCCTGCCATGATCCCAGTCTTCCTTTGTGTTTGGGTTTCTCATCTGTTTCAGGTTGATACCATTCGACATTTGCCCTTTAAGAATTTCTCAATTTTAGCGATTTCTTAATTACTCATTTGTATGATGGCTCTTTCCTCCATGCTTAACCAAAGGTGAACTATTCATGTGTCCTGACTCTTCATTGAGGAAGAAATGTTTTAATTTATTTAGTTGCCTTGTGACTTCCAAGTTCATGATGGCTCAAAAAAAGGATCTGATCCTATAAGTTTTGCAGATTTTGTTCTTAGGCTGAGAATGACCTTGTGGCATTTAACATTGAAAGCAGAACTCTTCTTATTTTTCTCTTGATTCTTACTCTAGAAGTTGGAATGGATGCTCATCCTTCTTTTCTCTTGCATCTCCTTCTTTTTCTTTTTTTTTTTTTTAAATATTTATTTATTTTTTAGTTTTCGGCGGACACAACATCTTTGTTTGTATGTGGTGCTGAGGATCGAACCCGGGCCACACGTATGCCAGGCGAGCGCGCTACCGCTTGAGCCACATTCCGTCCCGCATCTCCTTATTTTTCTCCCTTATGTTTTCCTCTTTATGCCTTTGTGTTTATTCCTCAAATCTATACTTCAGTAATTTTTCTTCATTTTGTGACTAAACCCCATTCATTGAATTTTCAGTTTCATTGGCAGTACCTCTCATTTGTATATGTTCCATGTGTCTTCTTCAAAAATTTTCATTATAAATTTTTTTTTTATTAAAAATAATCTTTTTTTTTTCTTTTCCATGTAATTTTTCTAGATTATTTCTTTCAGTGTGTAGTCCAGTAAAGGATAATTGTTTCTTCAATTTTTTTCTAATCTGCTATTAAACACATCCATTGAGCTTTCAGCTTCATTATAGTGCTGACTGTTTCTCAAGAGTTCTCTATGTGGCATCTTTCCTAATTTGCCTTTTTATTTAAATTAACTTAAAACAAAATTGACTTTTTTTGTTGTTATGTAGGTCTTACCAGTTTCCATACATAGATTCGTGAAACTACCATCATATCAAATCAACAATTCATCATGCCCTCTGTAGATGTGACCCTTGTTAGAAATAGTGAGGTGCCACAGAATTGAGCATGTGCTTAGAAGTGGGTTGGAAAGGCAAAACTTGACTTCTGCCAGAAGGGCACATTTCCAAACCTAGCTAGCAAGCGCATCTTGGCAGCAGGCAGTCCACCTGCTTTTGTCCCTGACTGCAGCACTGCCTTTTGCCCTGATA